TTTGGTAATAAACAATTTAAACACAACTTATGGAGTTTATTAATTAAAGATTAATGATTAATTGATAGTCATACTTTAAATACAGCTTATATAATGTATAGGTTTCATAAACCTTTTCTCATGCAGTATAATAATGATTCTATTTTTGATGTACAAATAAATGACTATTTAGACCTCAACCCCAGTCCTTGAACCCACACTGTGTCGTACAGTTTCAAGTTTCCTCTCGCAACAGTCCTTAGCACCTGATAGTGAGCCGAGGAGCCGTTCAGGACCTGGATCAGGTGTGTTAGGAAAGAAAAAAACAAAACAACTGAATCTTTATAAAGCAGTGGACTGGAGTTCATAATACCCGTCGTTCTTTTCAAATCGATTAATTAATGTATGTTTACGTTATTAATGTTTACTTATGTTTAATAATATAGATAAAATAATATAGACCTAGATATTGAAGCAATGTTTAATTAGTAACCTATGTATTGCGCTCATATATAATATAGAATAGTTTCCTACTGAGCTGTAAATTAGTCTTACTTAATTCTTTTTTGTAATCCAGTTCCTATTTTTATTCTCTCTTTTGGTAACCTCCCTATTATCATCGTAGCATCATATCTGCCACTTTCTTATCAGGATGCAGTGACCATAACAAATACATACCAAAAATATATTCTTAATAAATCTCCATGCAGACAGATATTGATTGTATCAGTGCACAATACGGCAGACTTTCAGACACCACAGACCAAGCAAAAGCAGCCTGGTTGTATCTCAAATGAAAGACAATATCTGATAAATAAAGGTAAAAAGAACCAGAACCTTGGTCCTCTGGGGGGAGAGATTAAGTTGTGGGAAGGGGCAGTAATGATTGAAATAGAGATAGGGTATTAAATGTGATCTGCTCTGACAAATCCTTGGCTTTTAAGAGAAACCTGTTTTCACAGGTTATAATCCACTGCCCCATCTGGAGTAACCTCTCACAAGTGGAGCTTCAGTGTTTCTTGAGGATTCATGGTTCTATCATTTTTTTGTAAATCGGCAAAAAAATTCACACGAGCCACATGAGAAGTTCTAAAGTTATGTTTCATGTTAGGGCAGGGTTAGTGGTTGTAGCTTTTATTATGACTTTTCAAATGAAATTGCTCTCTTTGAAATATCTATAAACGTCGTGTCAGATTTATGTTATAAAATAGTGAATGAATTGCATTGCCGTCAATTGCAGCTTAACAAATCCTACAATGCGTCAGCAAAACACTTCGCTTGGACCTCAGAACTCCTCCGAACACAGCAGAGTTTGGCTTTTCTTGAGGCGACTTCTGATATTTTCCGCCTTACTGTTTACTTCTTGTGGAGCAATCTACATAAATCCCTCACACTCCCCTGCACTGAGCCCCATTTACACCCATCCATCTTTCTCTATAGTGCAGTTTAGAAGCAAATGGCCCACATATTCACCTTCTCTGACAGCAAGGATGAGGAGGAATCTCTAATACTGAACTGAGGAACCAGTACCTGTGCAGCATTGCTGGTGTCCTGTTTAAAGATCCATATTTAGGTCTGGATCTAGAGATGGTGGATGCTTTTATTATTTTTTTTTTTAAATAAATACAACAATTAAAATTAAAAGACATTCGTACATCCCCTGCACATGATTGTGTGTGTGTCAGCTCTTCTGCAGAGTCTGCTGCAGCCACTGAAGCCTCCATACCAAATTTGAAAAGTTCAAAATAAAATGAACTCCCTCTTAGGAATGATAACACAGCATCAGACACGAGGGTGCACAATTTGAGCTATATCACTGTATCAACTTATGGGAAACATTTCATTCTGGATGATAACTAAGGTTTATTCACTGCCTCTGCTTTGTCGGTTGCCACTGCAGCATTGTCTCACATCGGATTGTATTCAGAGTTTTATCAGGTTTTAACACTGAAATTCATTATTCAGACCTCAGTAACTCTAGACTTGCGTGACAGAGATGTGGGAGAGTTTTGGACGTGTGGTGGATTTGAGTAAAAAAAAAAGACACAGATCTCAGTTACACGTGATTCTAAACTTGAAATTAAGCACATTTTCTTGTGCCGATATTGGCTCGAGCAAGGAGCGTTATTAAGTCCAGGGCTGAAATTTATGTTTTGGGTATTATACATATGCTGAGAAAAACTATGGAATGTCATATGAGGCCAATATTAAATACTTAAATGAGACGCTATTAGTTTATTAATCATATTATCCATTTAAAGACCCTTTTTTTTCCCCTGTTCAGCATCTTAATCTTAATCAGAAATAGTGCTTATCTTTAAGACTAAATGTTTTATGATCAATATAACAACACTTAAAGTGATAACAACAATTAGCTGTGATTAATGGCTAGGACATTTCAGACAACACTATATCGTTAATATACTAAAATCCCATTAGATTATTATTTGAATGCTTGCCATTCTTCTTTTTGCCTCTTGCGTTTATGTTACCTTATTAAATATTGCATTTGACAGACGGAAAAAGAAAATGTGATCTGTTTATTCAGTCTGCATTTTATATCCCCGAAGCAAGTGCTTATGTATAAAGGCAGTGGTCTAGATGCTACTGAGGAACCCCATCTCAGACATATCTGCTCAAGGAAATCTGCCAACCTTGGAGATGTGAGCTACACACAAGTAATTATAACAATCTGAGCGGGCTGCCCAGAAAATCAACTTAAGCGCCTGCATAGGCTGCCTCTGAATACAGATCTCTGCATAAATATTGATGTAACATTCGAAATTAAGTTGTTGACTCTAAGTAAAGCCTGGGGTCAGTTTTCACATAAAAAAAAAATGCTGAAAAACACAAAATAAAAATTGCTTTGCTAAAAATGAATGAAAACAAAAATAACTAACTGCATTTTTTCGATTTCTCTTTCTTTTAAACATCAAATCAAAAAAAAGGTATGATTTAAAAATCCTAATAATGTGAAAGAGTGGTTATTCTCGAAGCACATGTATGAGATGCGGTGACCTTACAGCACATGACTGATTTTCTTACACTTCCATTCAGTGCGACGCTTTTGCTGTGTGAAAAGGGCCCATGGTTCTTGCATAATTTCTCTCCCTCTGACAATGTCAGCCTTTGAGTCCTGGCGCTGATTCTGTGGTGATGCCCCTGGGACCTCCACTGCGGAGAAAAACAGTTTGCTTCCTCTCCTCTTCACTCACACACAACAAACATCTTCAGACTACCTTCCAGCCCTCCTGAGCACCCGGGAGATGGGGGAGTGCCGAAACCTAGGACTTTGGTTAATGAAACTGGGCTCTGAATTTGTATATCAGCTGTTTAGCTCTCATGTGCTGTTCAGTTGGCAATAGATGTATTGTTGACGCCAGCCTTTCCTTTTTAGCAATACAGCAATACTTTATAAATACAGACGTTCATACACCGCCTGCACATGCTTGGGGAACATCATGATTGGCTGTTGTGTTTGTACAGGTGGGAATACATTTGAATAACAACAGTACTTTGATTAAGAAAGCAGGTTTGATTGCAGTGCCCAGTTTCCTCAGTGGCCCAGACAGACTAATATGCCAGATGCACAAATTTGTAAATAAGTTTGCACAGCAAAAAAATCTTAAACAGTGAAAAAAATGTGATTTTTAAATCTGTTTATAAATATATATATATGGTTGTTGTTTTTTTTGGTGTTAATTTCAAGCTTGAAATATTCTTGTTCTCTTGGCAGATTTTTCAAATTTCAAGCATTTATTTCTAGAAAGAAGCAAAATGATCTGCCAATAGAATTAGATTTGAAGCTTGAAATGTGTAAGAGCATTTAAAATAGACTAAATAACATTATATGTAATTTATAATAAGAAAAAATAGATAACATTTGCCCATATACAAGAATTTTCACTCGCAAATTATTATTATTATTATTATTATTATTATTATTATTATTATTTTATTTTTTTTATTTTTTTTTGCAGTGATATTTGAAAAATCTTGTATGGTTAAGATCAGGGAAAAAAAGGCAAGTTCAGTGTTAGCTTTGCATGCAACTTTATTCATATTTGGTGCTGTTGTGTTCAATAAATGGGGGTTGATGTGTCATTAAAATTATGCACGGTGCATATTCAGCCTTTCTTACTGAAGCTGTTCAAAAAAAATCCATTCTTCAGAACGCATTAAAATCTCCAATTCATTTTTGTTTTGGCCAGAGTGAAGCACGAAGGTTCAGCTGGAATTCCATACATACGTGATCGGATGTAAGTCATCTTTGACCCACGAAACCTGAAGATGAAGTTGCTATGGAAACTACTGGTGCTGCAGTCATTCATGGGGTATCTCGCAGGTAATAGGATCTTATTAAGAATGTTCTTGATGCATACCAGCTACTCTTTGTGAAGTCACCTTATTCATATGTATTTAGGACAGGTTTGCTGTACAAAGAGGCAGAGCCGAGACCGGAACTAACACTTCCAAACACTCGCAATTGGCAAACATTCATCACATTTCTATAATAAGATACACATAATGGGGTGGAGGGATTTAATTAATATGCTAAAATAACAGGATCTGAGCGGACAGTTTGGAGATAAAGGGTCAGCTGCTAGTGAGGATATTGTTTTGAATAAAAATGAGGAGATTAAACAGGAAATTAAGATTAAAAAATATATTCATATGAATGTACTGAAAGCTGGACCAGGTGGATTAATAATGTTCAGATTTTTTTTTTCTAGGCTAATATTATATATCTCTTTGAAGTTAGAGTGATTAGGGAAACTGCACTGCAAAAAAAAATCTTATCGAGGGAAGATGTCGTGAATGTCGTTCTTCTTCTTTCGGCTGCTCCCATTAGGGGTTGCCACAGTGGATCAGTGGTCCGCATATTTGATTCAGCACAGTTTTTACACCGGATGCTCTTCCTGATGTAACCCTCCCCAATTTTATCTGGGTTTGGGTGGCTTGGGGCTTGGGACCGGCACTGGGAGTGCACTGCCGTGTGCAACCCCAATGACTGGGGCTGGTTCTCTAGCCGGGAATCGAACCTGGGCCGCGGCGCTGAGAGCACCAAGGCCAAACCACCAGTCCTCCAGGGACCCGCAAGTAAAGATATAAGGCATATAATGTGAATAAAGGAAAATATATAATATTTCTCATTATGAGATTATTATATAACAAATATAAGACCACTAAGCCTATATTTACTGATACAGTTTAAAGAAGCAAAATGATCTGCCAATAGAACAAGACAATTTCAAGCTTGACATGAGTAAAATATCTATAAATAGGCCTAATAATCTTATATTTGTTTAAAAACAATCTAATAAAGAGAAATATTTGTTGAATTTACCTATATTCAAGATATTTTATTTACTATTTGCTGAGATATGATTTTTTTTTCAGTGTAAGCTAAGAAAATGACTATTTTCTGTATGTTGTAAAACCCAGGCTTATACATTTATATGTCTTAAATATAAGCTTTAAAAAACTCAAAGTAGAATTTTTACGTTATTCATTTTTATTCACTGTTCATAAACAATAATAAAGTGAAATGTGTGAAATGTAATGTGAGTTTACCTAATATATATATATATATATATATATGTATATACACACAGAGGTATAAATCTAAAATTACATGTTTCATAGTTCTGTTTTGCTTAATGGGTATAACTACTGTGAATATGCTTTCACTAAAATATAGTTAACATTAAATAATTGCTGTCCTGCTGCTTCATTAGTATGCTTCATTGCTAATAATAATTGTGTGTGTGTGTGCAGGTGTGTGTGTAAATATGAATTATGAAATTATGAAATGACACTTAAAGAAATATGTATTTCTCATAAAATAATAACAGTTGTACTGTGCTTGACTTCCTGCATTAAGAACTCAAATGCATGTGCTGCACACTGAGGAAACATACACACATAAACACAAACACACACACACACACACACACACACACACACACACACACACACACACACACACACACATTTTGTGAGTCTTTTTTCCCTATATTTCTTAAGCTAAAGATAGTGTTAAACTAGATAATGTGTGAGCCCATAGGTCCTTTTCATTGAGTGATCGCAGTACCTTTGCAGTTTCAGTCAGTAGTAGGCTTCCAGTTGCTTTAGTCATGTACTTCCTCTAAGCATCATGGGAGTGACGGGAAAGGTCACTACCTGGTGAAACAGCCGAGGTGGAAGTCTGGCTGTTGAAATGAGTGGGCATGGAGAGATGCTGTTCAGAATGCCAAAAGGTGGCTGCGGTGATGTTTGTACCCACAAGACGTCTTCTTTAGTTACCTTGCAACACTGTGACAGGGCTCACTATATACACACATGCACACACACATATGTGCACACATCAGTCTTTATGTCTGGCCTGCTTGCATGCCATTACCCCGGCGCCGGACACACACACACGCACACACTCGCCCAACTCACTTCCACAGAATGCACTCTGCATGCTAATTCCTGGGCTGCTTCTTCTTTTGCTCCTAGCCACTTTGCTAGCAGGGCGGTTGCCTCTACCTTGACATTCAACATTATTATTATTATTTTTTTGTAAGCACCTGGATGTGCCATCTAAACAGATGAAATGTCTCAGCTTAGCTTAGCATTTCACAGGGAGAGGAAACACATGCTCCTTCAAGGAGAGACTGAAGTGTCAGATAGCTTGAGGTCAGGTCAGGCACGAGTGAAGTGAGCTTGGCATCTCTGGAGCTTGATTATATTTCTTTTTTTGCTGCATTCATATGAAATCCAACACTCTTCCTCTTACGCATAACATTTCTTTTAAAAATCCCAAGAGCACACCTCAAGGCTTTTTTAAAGCTTCATCACACACAAAGCACTAGTTGCTAACTACATATGTAATCAATTCCACATTTGAGCAACATAATCTTTCATCCTCAGGGCTGTTATCATTCTTAGAGCTTACAGATGTAGAGAAGGTGCTTGATTAGACATTTATGGGCTTTTCCATTTGGTGGCATTGAGAATGTCAAATGGCCCATCAGTGGACATCATTTCTGATTAATTTGCAGATTCAGATGCATAATCTTTCAGGCCACATATTCGAGCACAACACTCCTTTATTCTCCATTTCTCACTCCCTTTTTGGCCTTTGTTCAATGGTCCGTGATGGAGAAAAGACAGACTTTCAAAACAAATCATTTGGTGACCATGTTATTTATGGTTTGTAAGGGCAAGAAACCCATTGGGGATTTTGTGAACAGCAATTTCGATAGACAATTTTCTCATAGCCCCTGTCTTTCTTTCTTTTCATGAAAGAAGCAGCTATAGTGGGTTTTTTTTTTATCACATTTCATAGCATATATTTTACCCTGTTTGTTCTCAGCGAGAATCGGTGACAGACATGTAAATTGATATTGTGTGTGTGTGCGTGTGTGTGCGCGTGTGTGTTTTGTACGTATACATCTGCTAGAATGTGTCACTTTATTTAAATATTTTTCATTTAAATATTTACAATTATGCAGATTTCATTTCAGTGTTTTTTGGATTGGATAAAAGGAAACACAGTCAGAAAAACGCGCAGAAACTAGGAGATGAATTGCAGTTAGTTCTGAATTAGTAAGAAAGAGGAAGGTTCCAGCGTTCATGTTAGAGTGAGCTGATTTCTGACCATCTGTGACCATCCTTCAATTACTTGGAAGTTCATAGAGACTGATTCAAAGAAGGGGAAGAGATGGGGCAGTAGATGATAAATCTTGTGTCTATCAGGTCTAAACTAATTTGAGGTGGTATGGCTTTGTCAGGCAGTGCCTGAAATAGGCTTGCCATGTGGCGAGAGTCCTGGCGTTCTCACAAGCCAGTGATTGATTTAGTTATTAAAGGAACAAAGAAACTGAGGTTGCTTTTGGTGGCTGTACCAGGATTAGTGACTGAGAGAAATCCGGAGGACGACAGAGCGAAAGAAAGAGAAAATAAGAGTAGAGTGTGAGTAAAAAGCAAAGGGTGTCACCGTGGCATTACAATGCTATGCAAATCAATTCTCGCATTTGGTCTCATGCAAATCCTTGTCACCCCTGAAACAAATTGAACTCATCAAATAAACACTAGTGCCAGATTCCTCTGATGAGAGAAAACATTTTCAGAAACCATTTTATTTGCTTTTGTTCCAATTTCTATAAAGGCACCATCAAACCTGCCCTAAGCCCTTCTTGTTTTTAAGCTATTTGCATTGTTGCATTGCTCCATAGCCATGGTGGGATGCTTAAAAATCCAGGATTTGGCCCCTGTCTATCCATCTTGTTAGTTGATTTATTTAAAAAGATTTGTTGGTTTTACTCAGGGCCTCTGGCTGTAAAACGTCTCTTTCATCCCGATCAGAGAGCTGCTTTCTCTGGACTTGCGTCTCTCTCTCTCAAGGGAAGGCCGATAAAATTTGCCTTGGGCACTTATTGCTTTCGAACTATGTGCGAGAACACTGAGTGGAAAATCCTGACAGAGGATTTTTTTTTTTTTTTTTGTACCATTCTCTACCCGACTAAAATCATAATCCCTTCCAATCCTTTCTGAGGGCCTGACATGAATAGATTGTCTCATGTCAGACACAGCTATGCACTCAAACAGTATTATACTTACCAAACGCAGTAATATCAAATGTCATACTGTTTGGGGGCTGATTGTGAAACTCGGAATAAAGCCGGAGGCTTCGCTGGAGAGGGAACGTGTAAGTAATTTGCAGTGTCAATAATCTCTTACAAGGATCACTAACACATATAGGCAGGACCACCTGGTATTTGTGCAGTTTTCCTGATCGTTTGAAGATATCCCTTTCTGATGGTCTTTTCACCAAGCTTTCTGCACATCCCCTTGCTCGATATATATCATTCAGCAGCTCCTGCAGAGCAGAAACAATGCGAACCTCCGTTTCCTCATAACCTTGAGCCCTTTCATACAGTAGTTGATATTACTCCATTTAACAAGAAAATGATCAGATAAGGGCTACATATAGCATGGAACAATTCATTTCATGGTTAGTAGAGCAGCTGGTGTATTGATAAGTATTACTTCCGAAAAGACAGGCGTTTTTAAATGTAACATCCACAAGACTAGAGCCCGAATCTGCCAAAATAGTTTTATTTTTGGCATTAGAGTATACATATACATTCAGTTCCTGCTGTACCTTCAGGAAAGACCAGAAAATTAGCTTACTCGCATGTTTACTGGTGTTTTCAATCACACGAGGTTTACTTGGTCCTAACCTTTTGGCACACTTACATCACCAACTGACATCAATCTATAGAGCTTATGCCATTCTTTTGTGTTTACATTAGGGAACAGGCATCACTCATGCGTTTTTTTTTTTTTCCTCCATAGATGAGATCGCACAAAGTAGATATTTTCAGTCCTCACATCCTACATCACCCTTAGAGAGCTTTGGAATCTAGAATTTCTATTTTCTCCAACCTAGGTAGATTTCATCTACTGAGCTCGTTTTGAAAGCCTTTTATCTGCAAATGCACACATACGCTGAGAGAAAGAAGTGAGGAAAGGAGGGTGGAGGAGATGCACTCACTTTGTGTAAATAAAGGTTATTCAGTCCCTGTGAAATACATCACATAATCTTTGGCTGGTGCAGTTTGCCAAGTATGATGGAATCCACAATGATGAAAAGAGTTTATATGAGGTCCCAGGCACACAACATGAACTATATTGAAATAACTGATTTATTTTCTGGCATATAGAATAGAACTGAAAGCTAGAGATTGTATAATTGTATAATTAAATTACTTGCTTTGTTTAATTCCCATTATGGCTATGTGATAAATGAACAATTATTAAAAAAAAGTAATTTGCTCAATTTCATAAGAAGACATGCCATTCAGTAATGTTGCTGCAATTTTGACTTATATAATTGTAATAAATTGCATTTCCTGAACAAGATTATAATATACTGTTTTATAAAGAAATTGGCTAGTAAGGTTTTCTAAGCATCTTGGAGAATCTGAGACTGATATTCTGGAGACTTTGTCACACTTGCTTCTGTTTTTGCAGGTAGAATCTCACGGCCTTCATTATGTTATTTTTTTTCTTCTGAAAAGTGGTTTATTATGTAATATGT